CCTTTCTCCCCACCCCTCCTCCTGTCTCTCCACCCCTCTCCACACACGCACGCACTCTCACAGTTTGTAACAGAAAAATAAACCCCTGAATGCCCACAACTTGCAACTTTTTGCATATGCTGAACATCAGACCTGGAGAGCTCTCTGTTCTAGTGTTAAAACGTTCAGACATTGCAACAGTTTCATTTTACCAAACAAAGTCACGCATCGTGAAACAGGCTGCACTTTTCCACATCCTTTACACTCAAGGGTGTGTGGTGCTCAAGTCCTGGAGAATGCAAATGTTCACCCATTGTTCAACAAAGGGTGTCTGCAACTGCAGACCAGTCAGAGGTAGGGAAATGGTTCAGAAATGGTCATTTGGGAAAAAATAATAGTCACTTGGGCAAATGTGGGTCCTTTAAAGAAAGCCGGTGCAGGTTTGTTGAGGAAAATAGTGACTGATTTTCTTTTTGCTGAGGTAACAGAGAGGGCTGATGAGTTTCATGCTGTTCATGTGTTTTTGCACAACAGGCTTGTGAGTACAGTGAGAGCTCATAGTACAAAGGGGATAGGAACAACATTGATACAGAAATGGCTGTATGATAGAAAACACAGTAATATTTTCCAGGTTGGAGTAAGGTTTGTAACCAAGGCCCCCAGGAGTTGGCATTGGGATCACTACTGTGCCTGATGTCTATTAATGATCAAACACATTGCAGGCGATATATAACTTAAAAGTATTGTAAACCCGTGAGGAAGATGATGCAGAAATTCAGAAACCTGTGTGGAGCAGGCAAATAAGTGGCAAGTGCATGTCAATGCAGTAAAGTGTGGAGAGCTTCATTTTGGTTGGAAGAACAGAGAGGCAGTGGTAAATCGAGGGGACAAATCTAAAGTCCGTACTGGGAGCAAAGAGACCTGTGGGTATCTGTAAATTATTGAAGGTGGCATACAGGTTGAGAGTTTGGTGAATAATGCAGACAGCATCCTGGGTGTGCTCAATAGTGGAATAGGGTACAGAAGCAAGAATGTGACATTCAACTTGTATAGAACGCTGGTTCAGCTTTAGCACTAGATGCAGTACTCAGCCAGACTCTGAACTTTGGCAGAGATGTGAAAGCATTAGCGTGCAGGAGTGATTCATGAGAACAGTTTCAGAGATGAGGAGTAGCTGGGACCGATCTCCCTGGAGATGAGAGGATCTGGATCGAGGTCTTTGAAACCATGAGGGTTCTAGATAGAATAAAGAGGGAGCAACTTGTCCTCGTTGGTAGAAGGATCAAGAACCCAGAAGGACACTGATTTAAGGTGATTGGTAAAAGGAGCAATGGTGACGCGAGGAAAAATATTTTTATTTATCCACGCAGTGTGTGATTGGGATCTACAGTGCACTGCCTGGGCGTGCAATGGGAGGCAGATTCAGTTGAGCTTTTTAAAATGAGGAATGGATCATTCTCAGAAATGAAATAGAGTGTAGGGTTACAGGGAAAGGGCAGGGGAGTGGCTTGTGTTGAATTGCTCCTTTAGAGAGCTGGCACGGACGTGATGGACTGAATGGCCTTGTAGCTGCAACTGTTCACAACCATGCCATGAACTGACCTTGTTTTTTTTTGAATGTATGTGATGGATTGCTATGAAACAATGTATTGCTTTTAATTTAAACATGAAATTCTGACTGAGTTGATGCATGTACAGTGAGTGCTCACAAGTGTGCATGAGGCCTGATAGTTTCTTTCCCTGGTTCCTACCCCAGTAATTGTGCTGTGTAATTTTCAGAATGAGTTTCATTGATCCTGACGACCTCCTGCAGTGTCCATATGACAAGAACCACCAAATCCGAGCTTGTAGATTTCCATACCACCTGGTGAAATGCAGGAAGGTAAGTCTCCAGGTTTATAACTGTATCCTGGGAAAGCCCAACACGTACAACAACTTGCGTTTATATAGCTGTCTTTAGGATAATAATTTGCTGCCCAGATGCATCACAGATATGCAATTGGGCAAAAGTTATTAGGACAGATAACTGTAGCCTGGCGAAACAGTTTTTGAGGAGGCTCCAAGCAGGCAAGAGAAGTGTGGAGGGGATTCCAGAGCTAAGGATGTCAGCAGCCAAATGCAGCAACAAAAACAAAGTTGCTGGAAAAGCTCAGCAGGTCTGGCAGCAACTGTGAAGGAGAAAACAGAGTTAACGTTTCGGGTCCGGTGACTGTCTGCGCACTCTTCTGAACTTTGCTCTGAAGTCTTGATTGCCTCTTCCCATCGCTACTGCCAAAATCTTTCACCTCTCACTTCTCTGCATTGAACTGCTTCTGCCCCGTGTTGGCCCATTCTGCTAGCCAGTCAGTTTCCTGTTACAGGGGTCTAGTATCCTTTTCCTTGTTTATAAAGCCTCCAGGTTTGGTACTGCCTGCAAATTTTAAATTACATTTACTGTTTTCCGGTACCTGGAAAGCACTATGCCTTGGGGAGCGCCACTGACTACCATTCTCTGGTGTGAAAAGCAACCATGCTGTTTTTCTGACCGTCAGCTGATTTGCCCTTCGAAGCTAACATTGACCATCCTGTTACTCCCATTTTGTTAACCCGAGCCTTTTGTGTGCTATTTTGGGAAACAATTTCTTAAAATCCAGAGGGACGCCATCGACATAATCCCTTTGTCACCATTTCCCGTGAGGTAGAGAGTATGTAGAAACCGAGAAATGTATGATGCATCAGAATTTGAGACCAATTATCTGACTGCAGTTAGTGGATAGCTCGCCTGGTCTGGATGGCTTGCACTTTTGCAAAAAGAAATTGGAGTGGCGATTGCAGGCGGGTTGTTGCAATCTTCCCATCTCCCCTCGATATGGGGAAGGCACCAGAGAGTTGGACAGTGGCAAATGTGGCTCCCTTATTCAAGAGAAGGCGTAAGGGCATTTACAGTAACCACAGGCCAATCAGTTTAACATCAGCATTGGGTAAAGTTTTACAAACAATGATATTACAGCGGGGGCAAAACAACCAGCCATTGCAGAGGTTTGAATTTAAGGAAAGCCTGTATGGATTTGTGAAACGCAGCTTGTTGACTGGTTGAATTTTTTTGAGAAAGCAACAGTGACCGTTGATGAGGGGAATGTTATCTATATGAATTTCAAGAAAGGGTTTGACAAAGAACTGTGGAAAGGCTGGCGAAGAAAATGGAGGCTGATGGAGATGGAGGGTCAGTGTCAGATTGGGTTAGAAATGGGCTGAAAGGTAGAAAGCAGCAGCGAAGCCGTGGTACATGGCTGTTTTTCAGACTGGAGGCTGCCATACAGTGGCATTCCATGAGAATCTACATATTATTCCTCAACAGCTCCCTTTTGCACTGTAATCAATCATTGACTCTATCTCAACTGAAAGGCAATGCCTTCAATAATGCAGCACTCCCTTGGTACTGCACTGAAGCATGGGGACAGATATTCTGTTCACTAGAGACCTGAATCTCCACTTCAGGTGAGAGTGCTTCTCACTCTGCTGATGCTTTCTAGGAATGAATCCCAACTAAACACTCTGGACCGAGATAGTAGGAACTGCAGATGCTGGAGAATCTGAGATAACAAGGTGTAGAGCTGGATGAACACAGCAGGCCAAGCAGCATCAGAGGAGCAGGAAGGCTGATGTTTCGGGCCTAGACCCTTCTTCAGA